GAAAAGGGACCGTGAGAAAGAGCACTTAAAAAGAAAAAGTCAAGTGTTTGCTTTTGCACTGCCTAAGGAGACTGGTTTTGAACTCCACGTGGTTGACCTTATGCATGTGTTCAATGATAATTTGTTGAAAAGTGGGCTGTCTGTCTTCGTATCACTCTCGCTCCCTCACTCTTTCGTGTCCCCGCTGTCAGGTCATCTGTTGTGTTCACACCCTGTTTCCAGGTATCCACCCATCCATACCAGGATTTCATGTTTATGTTTAGTTTTTCCACTTCAGGTTTGTTTTGCACCTTTTTAACAGCCACAATAAACAGCTCCCTTTTCGTTAAAATCTAGTTAGGTTCCACACTTCATTTTGTCTGCGTTTGGGTCCGTTCTCCTCTCTCCACACACAGACTCTGACACTTTCTTAGCTTGGTTTTAGCATCAGTTAACCTAAACACCATCAAAAAGATCTGTGTGAGTAAAATTGTAAAGTATCCACTATCTAATATCTAATTTGTGTTTCCTCCCTGTAGGGTGACAGAGGTGGTCCTTTGGTTTGTTATGAGCAGAACAGGTTTGTCCTTCAGGGTGTCACAACATGGGCTGAGGGATGTACGTTGGGCAGGACGCCCAGTGTCTACACTCAGGTTTCTAAGTTTGTGGACTGGATCGATGCAACAATCAAAGCCAACTAAAAGCTATCATCTGTAATGTGGTTGTTGAGGATGTCTTAACATCTATACTGTGTTCTGTAACAGCATGGCTCCAGTAAAACTGTGATTCTTCTTCCCTGATTAGCTGTTAACTCCACCTATATTTAATGTTTTAGTAACTTTGATTTGCATTTTCTGCTAACACTAGAGGGCCATTTCTTTGATGTCCATCAGCGTAAATATTCCCCTCTGCCAAAACCTTTGTTGCAATCTTCTGCCATCTTCCCCCTCCATATCTGACAGAGAATGCTGACTGTTGTATTGAGCTTCTTTGTTCAATGTGTTTAATGTAGAGTCCACAAATCAAAATTAACCCACTAGTTCTGTAAGATGTAGATATCTACTCCTCTCTGTCCTGTAGCTCTGTTAAATGTGAGCACTATTTGTAGTCAGTCCTGGAACTGTCATTAAAAACGTGATGACTGATTTTGAGTTATGTACAATTCCAGTGACTTCGGGTGGATGAAAACTGAATTTCACTGACTTTTGATGTCCAAAGTTAATAATATTTTGTATGAATGGCATAGTCTATTCTTTACTGTAACAACATATAACACCACCTGGCATTATTTTAGTATTAATAAAAATGTATTCAAAACAGTCATTGTTTCACTTTGGAGCAATCACTACTCAATGCCAGAAATGTGTACTTGATTAGACCTTTCACTCTTCTATCCATATTGGCAATTGTGTAGTGGAGTGTAGTATTAGCAATTTGTGTTGTTTCACAGTTGCATTTGGAGACTTAAGGTCACCTAATGCTTGCATACCAACCTTTGTGGTTCTCTCTGTCCACAGGTTTCATCAAAATGTCAACAAGATCTGAGGGTTAGTTTGTTAGTTTACTTTTATTACAAAACAGTATCAAGGTCTTGTATGAGTTGCATTTCAGTGCAGGTACAAACACTATACATGTTCATTTACACTGGAGGACTAAATAACCAGGAACTGAGGAGACCAGATGCTAGGACACAGAGCCATTGCTAGGGGGTCTCCCAAAGTTCATTCTGTTCATCTGATAACACTTGGTCCAGATGGACAGAATGAACTTTTGGAGATTTACTTACCTGGATGATTGAGCATGCATCAAGACATAGCTAGGGGGTGTGCAATATGAATAAAAACAAGAATGCTTGGACACTTCTAGCAAAATGGACAGGTTTTTGACAGGGCTCCCACACAAACGCAAAGCAGAAGATGAAGCATCGCCAAATATGCTTCCAAACCAACTTCCTTCCAAGCCAAAGACTAGAAAATATAATGAAGCGTGTCTTGCACAACGGTGAGGCCAAGGTAGGCATCCCCAACAGAATTTGTTTCACGTTGGAAGCACGCACAGTTGCTTCACAGTCCTGGGTGTCTTTGTTGTAGTTTTTATTTCACGATGCCCCAAATGTTTTCAACTGCTAAAAGCACTGCACTGGAGTCAGGCCAGTTCAGCAACTGGACTTTTCTACTCGATGGCTATGCTGTTGGAACAGCTGCAGTATGCTGCTTAGCATTGTCTCTCAGAAAAATGCAAAGCCAAGATATGTTGCTGTAAAATCCGTATAAACCTTTCATCACTGATGGTGCTTTTCCAGATGTGTATACTTATAAGCACAGATGCACTTCCATACGATCAGAGATGCCGACTTTTGAAATCAGCACCAGTACCAAGCCAGGTGGTCCGTCTCTGCTTAACTCCAGATGAAACAGCATCCATGTTTTCCACTGAGTGGATTTTAATGAGCTTTACCAAGAGAATTCAATTCAATTCAGTTTTATTTCTATAATACAAAATTACAACAATAGTTTCATCGGGGCACTTTATGCATAAAGTAATAGTGATAAGTGATTATGCATAAAGGTAAAGGCCCTATCTTACAATTTAAAGCTGCAGTGATTGCAGCATTTCCAGATGTGTCGACTTTTGCATGACTCTGCCAGTACTGTAAACTGTATTTGTGGATGGTGTGATGAACTGTGCTCACGGACAATGATTTCTACAAGTGTTTGATAACCAGTGGAGTGATTTCAATGACAGAATCATGTCTGTTTTGAATGCAGTGCTCCCTGATAGCGTTCTGATGCCACAATCCTATATGATGTTCTGCTTTGTCCCTTGCTCACAGAGATTTGTGCAGATTCTTGGACTCTTTTGATGATGCTATGTACAGTAGATGACGAGATAAAAGTATAAAGTAGACTGGCAATCAATTGCCCATCTTTACTTTAGAGGAACTCTGCCTCTTTTTATACCCAACCATGTTACTGAGCTGTTACTTAACTAGTTACAAAATGTTCTTCCAGCTGTTTCTTTTACTTTTCCAGCATGGGTTTGAAGTTTTTTTTAAATAGTTATTGCTCATGAAACAGTAAAAGGATTCAGTTTAAACATTTGATATGTTTTTTATACTCCGGATGTTAAGAAATTATGGGTCAATTTAATGATTTGAAATCGTTGAGTTCTGTTTTCATTTACAGTTTCACAACCTGTTTGGAATTAGGTTGTATTTTAGTCAGATTGTTTTTGCCCAAATCTGATTCAGATAAAGATCAGATCACATTTTATGAGTTATGATTGCACAAGTATCTCAATTCCAGATGTTTATGTATGTATTTGTTTTTTTACTTGTTCTTGGAACCATACCTAGAATTTGACTAAAAATGCTCTAAAATATAACAATAATTATATTTTTTATCTTAATGAAGAAAAGTAAAAATTGAACACTATGGACTTGTCACTAGGGACTAAGGTATCACAGAAGTGGGTCTGGATTCAGGCACAGGACCTCAGAAAAACATTTAACAGTTTATTTACAAGAGAAAAACACACCAAGGGCTATCTACAAAAATGTGGGGAGGGAGAAATCCAGGGGTCCTTTAGGGTGAAAAAAACCAAACATTAATCCTCTTCAGTCATACACCACTCGAAACACTCACATCAAAACTTCTGGAAAAACAAGGGCTGGGACAGGTCCAGGGAAATCTATAAACCAAAGGAGAGCACAAATCAATAGCCAGAAACAACAACTAGAAAAGTATAACTTAGCGAGAGTTGTGTTCTAAAGCCTAAGTTTGTGTATGAGTATATTGCTAATCTAACCACATGTATGTCATGTATGCATAGGATAACCTATTACATGAATATATCTTTGTCTTTTGTGGCTAGCCTTGTCTTGCTGTAGGGTAGATGAGGGAATTTGTAATATATCATTGTGTTAATCACCTTACTATGGTATTCTATGTTTTTATGTTTTAGTTTCAATCTGATCAATGGTGTATAGCGGTGCAACGTAAAATAAAACACCTGGAGCTTGGACGCTATATCCTGACTCCCGTATTCTTTTGAATGGAGTTTGGCTGGCTGCTGAATTGTGTACCGAAGCACACACACAAGAAGAGCAGTATGATAATTATAGATTACTTTAATTATTCAACTAAAAGTTATTACAGTAAGCCAAAGAGTAAAACTCAAATAGGGGAACAAAAAGGAAGTATTGTTGAGTGAACTGAAAATTGAAGTATAATTTCAAAAAATAAAAAATAACTTTGGCAATATTGTTTACTCATTAAACTAAAATAAATGTATTACAAATGTGTATGTTCTTCAATTGGCAAACACATCAAGCATGACATGGTAGTGAAGCTTAATTTAGACTGTGATGTCTAGTTATGCGTGAATGACCTGCCTTCAGAAGGTGTTTAGTTTTGCTCCTGACAAATACTTATTGATATTAACTTTATAAAAACATATAGATGAACTCAAACTAATACAAATGGAGCTAAAAGTAAAAAAATAAGCAAAAATAAAAGTAACAATTCTAAACCATTACAACTAAAATCCACTCTGTGAACTAAGTGAAATTAAACTGAATTAAAACTGTTCTTGCTCAGATTCAAAGCTTAGATAATGAAATTCTTAAAACAAAGAGCATAATGGAATACAATAGAAGACACAAACCCTCACATGATATCTAAAGAAGTCAGAGTTTAGGGGTAGTTTTTTAAACCTTATGTGATTGGCAGGAGGCTGATCATTACATCCAACAACAGATAAACCCTCCAAGTTCTCTCTCAACTCTCTAATGTGGTTTAATAACTAAATAAAACTGGGAATTAAACAACACTTGGTACAGCTGAAAATATTTAACAATATGCAACACATAATTGAGAATGAAACGCTGTGCTTTTTTTTGTGATGCAATGATTTTGCTGGCGCTCATAAACAAGGATTTTGATTGGCAGTGCTTTTGCTGTCCTTGTTGGGACAATGATTAACAAGTCATTGAATTGCCCTATTTGCCCCCCTGACATGCTAAAAGAAGCCCAATAATATGCCACAAGGTGTCTCTTTGAGTTAGTTGATGATGAACTGCTAGTTTTAGGGTCTCACCATGGGCCTGTACACAGCAGCTTTCCTCCTGGGAGCCTTGATCTCCACTGGTAAGTGGTACAACTACTATAGGGCATGTAAAGATGATTTTTCTTGTTATTTGTTTAGCTGGGGTTGGCTTCTTTTTTTTTTTTAGCATTTAGTTTAAATAGTAATAATGGATGCGTTTTAAGTGCTAAATTCTTATAATGCAGAATGCAACAATAACACTAACACTTTTCTTTTTTTTACATTACATATGCTAGAAATAACTCAGCAAAATAATAAGCACAGAGCCTCATTTTTTTCTCACAGTCTCAGGTCTAAACGGGTCATGACAGACCACATCAGCACATTCAAAGCTATACCTTTAGTCTAGATTTGAATAATTAATGGAATTTGATAAATGTAAGTTTACATTAAAGTAATTTAGGATAATTCTGTGTAGTGTAGTTTATAAAGACCTAAAACAGTGTGTTGGATGATTTGGTAACCATGTTGGAGTTCGTATACTGGTTCCTTTTAGTCAGATGACGTAAAATGGATTGTTTGGCTACACGATTTTCCAATAAACCCTCTAATCAGCAACCTTGACTGACTGGACAAAACCTGCTTATTGACAAAGAATATATACTTTATTTAAAAATGTAACATTTGGGTACATAACAAAAAGGACAGCGCTACAATATCTCCTCTGCTTTAATAACTACTTTTACACACCGGCCTGTTGGGTTAAAACAAGTCAAAATTCTAAATACTTACTTGAATATACATTGATATGCCTTCATATTGGATAACTGTTCAGTAAAATATTTTATTTACCTGCTGTGTCTTAACTTCTGTGCAAGGTGGCAAAGGAAAAAAAATCTTGATGTAAAAATAAGTCTTGACAGCATTTGTGTTTTGCTCTTATGAGAACTGCTAGACTTGTAATGAAATGTATCTAATAACAACAGATGAGAAATCCAATAGCACTCTTGATGTGGGAGTCTAAAAGTGTTTTATATTGATCTAAAAAATAAGAATCTTTGAGCTTTTGAGGTGCTGGTTGTGATCCCTTCCACCCTTATGTTTCCCTGTGCTACTGTTAATCCCCCAAATTTAGCAGTAGCAGATTTCTTAAAATATGTCCTGGAATTCCCTCCTGGATTGATAGGCCTATACAAGATCAACAGGGCCCTAGGAGCCTTCATCAGGAACTCAATGGGAATCTGGAGGACAACACTAGCGGCCAACTTCAAGCTCATAGCATAGGCCTGAACCCCCTCAGTGAGATCATTAACAAGACTGGCTACGGGTACCGACTATGGAATGGAGCAGTTGTCAGCCACCTCCTGTACATGGATGACATCAAGCTGTATGTTAAGAGCGAATGAGACATTGATTAACTGATCCACACCACCAGGATATACAGCAATGACATCGGAATGTCAGTCAGAATGGAGAAGTGTAGTCAGATGATAACGAAGAGAGGGAAGGTAGTCAGAACTGAGGGGATCAAACTACCAGAAGGCAACATTGCAGATTTAGAGCTACAAGTACCTGGGGATCCCACAGGCAAATGGGAACCATGAAGAGGCTGCTAGGAAAGCTGCAACCACCAAGTACCTGCAGAGGGTCAGGCAAGTCCTGAGAAGTCAGCTCAATGGTAAGAACAAGATCCAGGCTGTCACCAACTATGCCCTGCCCGTGATCAGGTACCCTGCAGGAATAAACTGGCCAAAGGAGGAGATAGTAGCCACTGACATCAAGACCAGGAAACTTCTGACCATGCATGAAGGGTTTCACTCCAAATCAAGCACCCAGAGGCTGTATGCTAAGCGGAAGGAAGGAGGCCGGGGACTGGTGTGTCAGCACCACAGTCCAGGATGAGGCAGCGAACATCCATGAATACATCAGGAAGATGGCGCCAACTGACCGCGTGTTCATTGAATACCTCAAGCACCGAAACCCAAGAAAGAGGAGGAAGAGAAGGGACCATAATGGAAGGACAGGCTCTTGCACTGTATGTACCACCAGCAGATAGAGGAGGTGGCTGACATCCGGAAATCCTACCAGTGGCTGGACAAAGAAAGACAGCACAGAGGCACTAATCATGGCTAGGGATGGGTACCGGTGTTCTGACATAAACGGTAGTAACCAGACCGAAAAGCAGCGCACATTTCGGTGCTTTTTTTCCTGAGATGTCATACACTTTGGATTCTAGCCAATCATTTTACCTTTCTAAGGATTAAAAACGCCCAAGGCGAAGCGGTCAAAAGTCTGGCTGTACTTCACAGCAAAAGATGCAAACTCAGCAGTCTGCAACATGTGCTTTAAGGTGATACTGTGCAAAGAAGGTAACACCTCGAATCTGATGAAACACCTGGCGATGCATAGCGTTTTTTTAAAAGCCGAGAAATGCACCGTAATTGATAGCTTGCTGCAAGTCCTCACACCAAGCACATCTACTGCGGGTGTGGTGCCTGTTATCGGACCCGGAGTTAGCAACATCGAAGAAGAGTCCTGGTGCTAGCCCTGCCAGTGTACCAGAAATGATGATGGATGACGATGGCAGTAGCAGCCGTTCTTCTCTGGGTGATTAGCTTAATGTTGTTCGTGTGTTATTTACGTTGAGTAGGCTAACCACGTTATTAAATTAATGCATGTAAGGTGAACTAGCAAACACCATCGTAGTTACATGCGGCTGTCTCCTTGTTTGATGGCAGATACTCCCTTCATGTTGTATCAACAGAAAAGGCTAACTTGGTTATCATTTTGCAGAAAAAAAAGAGACTGCTAAAAATAAAAACATAAGAGGTTTTTGGACAAAGTTTGTGTTCTCCATTCTTTAAGCACCAGTTCGAGCACCATTTAAGCACTGGCACCGTTTCAAAAGTACCAGTTTGGCACTGGTATCGGATAAAACCTAAACGATACGCATCCCTAATCATGGCAGCATAGGAACAAGCTCTGAGCACAAGATCCATAAAGGCTGGGGTCTACCACACCAGGCAAAATGCCAGGTGCAGGCTGTGTAAAGATGCCCATGAGGCAATCCAGCACATAACAGCAGGGTGCAAGATGGTAGCTGGCAGGAAGAAGGAACACAAGAAACTTGAGAAATACCAAGGGTTCAGAGAAGAGCTCAAGAAGAAGGTACCAGTGGTCCCAGTGGTAAGCACTAGGTGCGGTGACTCCCAAGGTAGGCGAGTGACTCCAGCAGATCCCAGGAATAACATTGGAGATCTCTGTCCAAAAGAGTGCAGTCCTAGAAACAGCTAAGATGCTGCGCAGGACTCTCAAGCTCCCAGGCTCTGGTAGAGGACCTGAGCTTGAAGGATAGACCGCCCACAGGGGCGAAGGGGGAATTTTTATATACAGATATATATTTCAGACAAAATTCTTCCATATTATAAAAAAAACAAAGACAAAACTTACAAATATAAGGACACTTATTGCAATGTTCATAAAAACTTGAATAAACAGTTGTGTCGCCATGTGTTATAACTGTCACAGCTCTTACTATTGAATTTCTTGACTCATTCAAACAGCACATAAATTTGTACATATAGTTCCTCAGTAAGGCACGAAAAGCTGGGACATTACTCATGACAAACATTTGACTTGCAGATGTCAATCTTGGAAGTTTAAGGAAAATTCTAAATGCATCCTGAAAAGCCACCAGGAGTTTGTTTTTTTTCCATTATGACTTTGATATAATTACACCACAAATGAGCCATAGGCACAATAGGCTTGAAAATGGCTACTTTAACATCGTCTGTGCACATGTAAAATTTAGGTGGCCTTATATTAGCTTGCATGTGCAACTTACAATGCTGGCGTTTTGCATCATCATCATCATCACAGAGATCACTTTTTAAGATATGACCTAAGTATTTCACTTTACTCCTCATATCCAATACTTGGTCTGCTAAATAAAAGATTGGAAAATTTAGCTTTTGGGTTCCCATTCATTTCCTTTGGCAGTCACTTCTGACCAGGGAATACATGAAGTAATTGTTTTTTTTTGGCTGATTGCAGTTGGTGGCAGTGACGTGGAGGGCTACTCCAAAACTGAAGGTGCATGGATTCTCTCACTGAACAAACGAACGTATTCAGTTAATACTGTGGCTGAGTGTGCCACCAAATGTAACACTGAAACATCTTTCACATGCAAGTAAGTTTACATCTCACATTTCGTTCTGTGAATCAAAATGTTGCATGTATATACAAACGGTATGTATATACAAATAAATATGTTTCCATTTTCAGCTCCTACTCCTGCCATTATCCATAGGGCCGCATTTAACCCTCCACATCTGCTCCAGTTGTTCCTTTAGCTCCTGGTAGTTTTCTGTTTCCTTGTGCTCGTTCTTCCTGATGTTGCTCTGCACTGGGATTGCCACATCTATCACAATTGTTGCTTATCATCATCTATCTTCAGCTGTATTTGTCGATGCTCCATGATTCAAATTGTGGCTCTGACACTCACTAACCCATACACTTTTTCCTTTCTTTCTTTCTTGTTCACACTGGGAATCTGATGACCAGTAAGGCTTATGTATCAAATTCAAATTCAAATTCAAATTCAAATAATAATAAACAATAAGTGGGATCTTATTCCTACCATTATGCCTTGTATAGTCCAGGCACTCTAATATGGATGTGTGAAGAATTGAGTTGTAGGTTGTCAATCTAGGCGGTGCTCAGCGTTTTCTGCGTAGTTGTAAAGTCCTGTGTTGCAGCTCTATAAACAAGGAGCTGATGCTTTTGCTGTCTGTTGTATTTCCAATGCCTTTCTGAGCTATTCTTGTGTATTGACGCATGTTTCTACTCAGTTTAGTTGCTATTATGCTTGAGAGGAGCTTCTGTGTGTCTATGGAAGGTTGCTGTGGTCTGGTCTTATTTTAAGTCCACCAGCCTCTTGGTATTGGTGTGGTGTGGCACCTCTTTCTCACAGATGTTCTTTCAGTATTGTTCAGTTGTTTACATCTGCAAGCATCTCCTCTGATGGGACTGTTAACCAGGAGACTCATGCTTTTGCTTGGGTGGCTACCTTGGCTACATATTTTCTCAATTCAGTAGATGCATCTGCCGTTGCAGGTGGCTGGGCAACATTTAGTTTGGATTCACTGCTCTCTTCTACGAGGGTTAGCTAAATATTTCCATACTGCTCACTGCTGTTCCCATTGTACTTTAGACTCTGGATCTCAAGCTTTGATAATAGCTTCTCTTGATGTTATTAAACTGAACAACTAGGTGCTTCTTGGTAAGTGTGAATGTTGGCTTTCTCCTCATCCATAGTTCCCACATGAGCTGTATAATCCTGATGAGTAATTGATGATTAAGTGCCAGCCATTCTGGCTACCGAGGGAATTTACAGCAGTCATTATTACGGCTGTTTACATTCCCCCACAAGCTGAGGCTGACTGACCAATGATAGGACTGTACAGTGCGATCAGCAGCCAGAAAACCATGCACCCAGAGATGGCATTTATCACAACCGGGGACTTTAACAAAGGAAACCTGAAGAAAGTTTTACCAAAACTCCACCAACACATTTACTTCATCACACGAGGAGAGCGGCTGCTTGACCACTGTTACACCTCCTTCCTGGATGCGTACAAAGCCCTCCTACGCACCCGATTCGGCCAGTCGGGGTGTATACTAAGCCCTCGCCTGTACTCACACTACATCTACAACTGCACGGCCACTAGCAACTCCAACATCATTGTGAAATTTGTGGACAACACAACAGTGGTGGGTCTTATCAACAGTGGCGATGAGACTGCTTAGAGGAAGGAGATCAGCGCCCTGACACACTGGTGCCAAGAGAGTCAACATCATGAAGACAAAGGAGTTGATAGTGGACTTCCTGAGGTGTAGAGAAGCACACACCCCCATCACCATCAACGGTACAGCTGTGGAGAGAGTAAGCAGCTTCCGTTTTCTTAGTTGTATATAAACGTTGACATTTATGCACTCCATATTGTACATATATGCCATTTCTTTTGCACAATATTCATACTGATGACTCTCTCTCTCTCTCTCTCTCTCTCTCTCTCTATATATATATATATATATAT